ACACACACACACACACACACACACACACACACACACACACACACACACACACACACTGTTCTGCAGCTGCTGCATAGTTATCAGTCCTGAATGTAGCTTGAGTTCGTGGCTTGATTTTGCAGCTTGGGTTCGTAACTTCTGGCGGCTAACTGGTCAGGATAGCTGGGCACAAGGAAGGGCTGGGTCTCTGTTGGGCATGCACCGATGCCCTTCCATGTTGGCAGCAGAATGTTACCCTCCAAAGTCTTCCATTTCACCCATCCTTTTTGTAGGCTTTAGTTTGAATCCAGAGTCTATAGGTCTTGCTGTGTCACGCTGCCTCTGGGTTTGGTGATTGATCACCCGTCAATTGCAGACGTGACTTTCAGCCTTGGACCTGGCTTTGATCTTCCTTCTATTGTACCTTTGTTCTTTTCTTTTTAGGGTGGACTCTTCTTACTTTGTTAGGGCTCTTGTCTGCATCTTCAGCCCTTGGTGTTTGAACTCTGTTTCATCAGGACAGGCTGGTGCTGGAGGTTGATTCCATCATCCATACATACCTCATTCACACATCTCAACTAAACTAATGAGATTACAGCAGGGTTTGCAAAAATGAAGGTTGGAGCCAGCTTTTACAAAATGGAGTAAGCGTTTTAAAATGGAGTTTGAATTACAATATGGCAAACAGTGAACAGAAGTAGACAAGTGTAGTGAATGGCAAACAGTGAACAGAAGTTACAATATAGACAAGTGTAGTGGATGGCAAACAATGAACAGAAGTTACAATGTAGGCAAGTGTAATGAATGGTGAACAGAAGTTACAATACTGAAACAGTGCAAGTCTCAGGGCAGGTCCACACTGGGGCGGGGGATCGATCTAGAAAACGCAACTTCAGCTACGAGAATAGCGTAGCTGAAGTCGACGTTTCCTAGATCGAACTAAATTTACTTACTTCAGGTCCACGCGGCGCAGGCAGGCTCCCCTGTCGACAGCGCTTCCTCCTCTCGGCGAGCAGGAGTTCCGCAGTCGACGGGGGAGCGCTTCTGGGATCGATCTATCGCGTCCAGATGAGACGCAATAAATCGATCCCAGAAGATCGATCTCTACCCGCCAAATCAGGCGGGTAGTGTGGACCAGCCCTCAGTGATTTAAGCAGGAATTGGATTAATAGTGAAATTTACAAAGGCAGCAGGCTGAACAACTGTGGCTCTTAACAAGCATCTTAATTGTCAATTAGCCGGTTATTGGGGTAACCGGTTTTATGAATGAATGTTTCAGTCATAAAACTTTATTTATGAAGTTATATTAATAAAGTGAACAATTAAAAACAATTTCATTCATCAGTTCTACAATGGAAATGTAAAAATCCTTATTTCTGTAGCCCAAGGTCCAGTATGATTTAACAGCAGATTGGGAACTACAAAGTGTGGAATGCTGGGAGAACTTCCTGGTTCCCCCAAGGATGTATCCTCTGCCATTTGCAGCAGGAAATTTCAGCACTGGCTGAAGCTGGGAGGAGGAGGTAGGCAAGCAGAGAGGAAGCTGCTGGACTGTAATCTTGTTCTATGTTTCTTTATAGGTAGGACCAAAAAGGGCTTAAAGAGCATCCTGAGAGGAGTTTAAATGACACAAAAGGAGAACATGGGCTTGTTTGTTTTGAGGTTTAGTTATTCTGGGAGTTAGAACATGTTTGTAAGGGGTCCCCTCTGCCCTCCCAGCTGGAAGTTTCAGCACTGACTGAAGCTGGGAGCGGGAGGCAGGCAAGCAGAGAAGATGCTGCTCTCCTGTTCTCTGTTTCTTTACTAAACCTAAAACTTTGTTCCTAGTGGTTTGTCAGAGTGGGTCTGGTCTGAGGTGAATACACATTGACATACAACCAGGGCTGGCTCTAGGCTCCAGCAAACCAAGAATGTGCTTGGGGTGGCACATTTTCAGGGGCGGCATTCTGGCCTTTTTTTTTTTTTTTTGCTTGGGGGGGCAAAAGCCTAGAGCCGGCCCTGGCAGCAGCGCATCATGGGCGGGGGTGCCCTGGGGCCACTCTGGTTTGCGCCACGAGGGAGCAGTGCTCACACCTTGTGGCTGGGCCGGGCAGGCTCCGAGCGGGGGACACTCGGGCTGGGGGCCGCCCCGTGGGGCACTTGGAGCCGCCTGTAGGTGCTGCAGGGCGGCCGCCCCCCAGCGCCACAGTCGGGGCTGGGCGAACTGGCCCGAGCCACCCAGGGACTGCGGCAGGGGGACCAGAAGCAGCAGCAACGGGGCCATAGAGGGCGGGATGCTGCCATGCGGGGCCCACGTCCCGCTCTCTGGGGCTCCGCTCCCTCTGGGGCTACCCTGCCCTGGCTCCTCAGCCCCCTGCCAGGGTGGTCCCCTGGCTCTGCCCTCCCGGGTCCCGGCCGGTCCTGGAGGCGGGAGCCCCGGTTGGAGGGACCCTGGGCTGAGGCGCGACCCGGGAGCCCCGGTGCTTACCCTGACCCTGTCAGCGCCGGACTGGCTGGAGGCGAGGGGGAGCAGGTGGAGTCAGCACTGGTGCGGGGGAGCCCAGCGCTGGGGTGGCAGGGGGTGCGGGTGAGGGAAGGCGGGTAAGAGCCCAGGGCTGGGGTGGGGGACAGCTAAAATTTTTTTTGCTTGGGGCAGCAAAAAAACCTAGAGCCAGCCCTGCATACAACACACAGCATACAGAGGAACCCCAAGTCCAAAGTTTCCCAAAGTTGTGTAAAAAGCCACAAGGTAGACTTACCCTATCTTGAACAACCTCACACTGAGTCAGTGGACAGGAGAGGGGCTACATTTCCATAACCAAACTCCAATAATGTGATTATATGCATAGACCATTCCTACCCATGTGGTACAAATGTTGGGGTTTATTTAGAATAGGCAGGTTTAGTCTTAAGGGATCCATCTCCTAAACACACACTATAGATGGGAGGCATATTTCACACTCTTTCCTTTGAGAATCTGTTGCTCCTGGCTGTTGTGCTCCTCCATTCTGAACACATCTCCTTGTCACTAGTTTTACTGGCTTTAGCCAACGTTCTCCTCCCTCATTCCTTAAGATAAGTATGGTCAAATCATGGCACCTCTAGTGTTTGATTAATTTCACTAATATTTGTCAAATAGTAGTATTGATTAACACATTTTATAGAATCAGCCAACTCACTAGCTGGCCAAAAGCTACCCAGGAAATATATTGGGCTGATGGAATTCATTACAGTCATTGGCTAGAGTTAGGTGGCTCCCCACCTAGCGTGCTGGCTTTGGGGATCACATTCTAACATGCCCACCTCTCCCGATTCATTACAGAGGGGCTAGGCACCTAACTCAGGCTTTGTGGATCCTAGTGTTGTTCCTGTGATTTTGAAAGAGCCTGGCTCCCTTTTGCGGAGCTGGGCTGTTTTTTCTTTTCCTTATAATATTGTCAGATTCTCAACCCATTGCAGGTTCAAGAAAGCCAGTAATATCTCTAATCTTGTTGTAGATGGCTGTGTATTGACTCTCTTTGATGCTGTGCAGTTGAAACCCATATTTTATAGTGTAAGCATTTCCTCCCCCTCCCCACCCGGGGAAGAAAGGGAAACAGTGGAAGGGGATGAATGGACTTGCTTGGGTATCTGCACGTAGCAGGGCAACTTATCTGGAAGGGCCCATGTCACAGGATGTCTGACCCTTTCAGTGACAATGGGGCCAGCTCCACCTACGCTGTAATTAATGCTCCCTGCCTGAGCAGGCAGGGCAAATGGGGGCAGGGGTTAAGACGGCAACCACCCGGGCCTCAGAAGAAAAAGGCCTAAAAGAGCAGAGGCAGGAGCTGGGCGCGCACAGGAGCGGAGTCGGAGCAGTG